ATGAGATGATGAAATGAAGGATGACTATTGAAAATGAAGAAAGTCTTTTATTAATATCCATGCACTGTATTGGAGCTCGGTGCCCCTTGCTGAAATGATGTCCAATACTGTACTCCCGTGTCCATGGGAAGGGATGGTTTTTAAGCCATGTACAGTACATACGGATGTAAACATGACTTAAATCGAATATGCCACAGTTTACGTTGATGGCGGCCGCCTTTCCTTCAGCACATGGTCATGTTGTGAAGTAGACAGTTCCACATGATTTTGTTAGTACAATTCTTACTGTAAATTCCATTTAAAAGCGTAATTCAATTCAGTGAAACAAATGGAATTTCTTTCCGCAAGAGTTAAGCATTGCAGATTGCGTTCGCTCTCATTTAGTGTTGGAGGATTGTGTTCGGAGAGAGAGTAATGCATGAGTTCGCGAACGGAGAAAATCTGTTAATTTTGCAAGTTATTCCTCGTATGTTTCAGGAAGATGAGCTACAAAATTGTGAGAAATTGTGGAAGTGTTGTATTTTTCCTTTCGCTTGTGCATAAGATGTAGCGTTCGCGTATTTTTGATGCGGAGTCTCGCATTCGCCGAATGTGTGTTCGACAGTTTATAACATGAGTGTGTGTTACTAAACGGGTTCGATGCGGGGTATGAAACTATCCCGCAATGGCAAAAGTATTGCCATTCGTGAGGTGCATCCTAAGAAGGTTCTCAGGTGCTACAAGCCATGTTCGTCAGGATCAATCTGCATCCTCTCGAGTGGAAACGTGCATGGTAACCTTTAATTTTGCAAAAAATTGCTATCAGTGGGTTTCAGTAATGAAGTTTTGTTGTGACTAGGTGTGTAGCATCTGTGGCGATGATGTTGACTTCGAATCCTATGAGAATGGAGACACGAAGTCAACTCCTTTGAGTGTCGGATGTAAATCCTGCCAGTCGAACACCATGAGCCCATCCTGTTCAGTCTGTCGGGAACGGGTGTTTCCCGAGAGCGAACTCCTTCCATCGGCATGTTCATCGTGCGGAAGGTATTTCAATTTCAATTAAACGGCGGATGTTTCTTGTAATGCTTGAACGATTGCTTTAGTTTCGTACACATGAGATGCGATCCAGACGCCGAACTCGCGTTTGACGATTTCTCTGATGGCATCGTGGTCGATCAGTACGTGTGCAAAGCTTGCAAGACAGTGCGCAGTGATTTCGTGATCTCAGAGTCGAAGGAGGGCGAGGATGCTGAATCAATAGTGGAAACTCCCGGACATTCCTGGTCAACTCCGTCACCATCTTCCCGCGGAGATGATCTGGTTTTCATGGAGTCGCCTTCTGACGACTCAAGAGTGCAGACTCGTAAAGAACCGTCGAAGAAAACAAAATTTGGTCCACCTGTGAAGAAGGACAAGCGGTCTGCGCCTGAAATTCGAGGCATTTTTGGCAAACCGGGCATTTCGTTGGAGGTAAGGAATTTACAAAGACATGGCAAGGATGTGGAAGCTAATTCCATTGTATTTCAAAAAGGGACCTTCTCGACTTGATTTCGTGGAAGACAGGAAGGCAAAAATCATGATGGTATGCTCTGCGAAGGATCGCGCCGCTATATCGTACGATCTTTGTGTGTTGTGTGGCTCCATGGGACAAGGTCAAGAAGGACGTCTACTTCCGTGTGTCCAGTGTGGTCAGGCGTATCATCCCTATTGCCTAGATGTTAAGGTGAGGGGTTTTTTGGTTCAGTAATGGTCGTGATTTTTCCTTTTTTAAATCTTGTTGTGCAAACAAATTATCCCGACATACTTGTATATTATAAGCTGATTTTCTCTGCACAATGTCCTTACAGCTGACGCAAGCAATGCTGAATAATGGATGGCGATGTCCCTCGTGTACATTGTGCGAGAGTTGTGGGGGAAAAGACGGTTTAGAAGACATGGTGTTTTGTGAGGACTGCAGCGTATCCGTGCACAAAGAGTGTATGAAGTTGCAGTCGTGCGATTTGTCGGACATCCTACCCTGGCGGTGTCGTGCTTGCGCGACGTGTGCGAAGTGCGGGAAGCCGGAACCCGGAGAATCGACGCAACCCGGCCGATGGGGAAAAAGTTTCCAGTGTTCATTGTGCTCTTCTGCGATTAAGTGTCGTGTCTGCGATCAGGAATACGTGGAGGGCGACTTGCTCATCCGTTGTTCCGAGTGCGAAAAGTGAGTGTTGCTTTTCTCCTCAGTTTTGAATGTAATGTTCTACCATTAGAAAACCAAACACGTGTATAATTGCGAAGTTCCGAATATATAGATTGAATTTTAAACTCGATGATGAATCAGTTGCGGAATAGATTATTTTATGGTTGGTAGATAGATTATGTTATGTTCATCAGGTCGCTGTACTGCGAGTAAATATAAGAAGGAAGACTTTTCGACTAGTTTTTCTTGAAACAGCATTTACGTCATTGATTCATTGTGCAGTTGCTGACTGATCAGGTAAAAGCATGTGTATCGTCGATGAAACTACTGTAGTTCAAGTTGAAATACTGTTTCGGCTTAAAGAGAAGGATTCCTTGCTCCATTTTACTGGCTACTTAGAATGTGATACTCGGTATTCCTTTTTTTTTCAATAAGTTCTAAATAGACTAAAGTAAGGTCACTCTACGTGTTAATTGTTTTGTTTGAAGGTGGCTTCATGGCCAGTGCGACCAGGTACAAAACGAAGAAGAAGCAAATGTATGTTTGCGTCTTGGCTATGCGTGTCTTCGGTGCCGTCCAGTGGCTGAACAGCCGCCTCACCTCAAAACAACCAGCACGCAAGCGAAGGAAGAATCCGGCGCTTCCCAGTTACCGCTGCCTGTCGTACGCTTCCGCCGAGATCTCCATGGGAACATTTCTGACTTCACCTCGTCAAGTTCTATGATCAACCCGTCAGGCTCGCGAAATATTGTGGACGGAGTTTGCCTCTCCGATATAGGTGCCAAGACCATAAAAGAGCTCATGAAGACTCATTCGGATTTCGGGCGCATTAAACGAAATTTTCGGAAGCGTAATGGCGGCGATGGTAAGTATTTTCTTCAAATTACTCGTATTACTCTTGTACAACGCGTTTGTATTAATGTCGCGTATCCCATTATTACAAAAATAAAACTGCAAAGTAATTTTTTGGAAATCCATCATTGTGCCTGAGTATGCAGCATATTTTGATTGTGTCCGGCAAAATTGTTGGGAAGAGCAGGTGCGCGTGTCATGCAAGTTGCTACGATATTGTGCTTGAAAATGGTGACAATTTCGCAATTTTGATTACCTAGATTTTTTATCGCCCTTTTCCATTCTTTATGTTTTTGAATCTTATTTCAATCATCATTGTGAAATCTTGAAAATGTGTTTTTCACGTTTTCACGCGGAGCAGCTCGCCATCCATAGTAGTGTCGAGTGTGATGTTAATTTTATCGACTACGTTTAATTTCTAGCTGACGCTGCATCCAAGGAACTGAGAAGTACGGAAACACCTTTAGATGGCGTCCCTGTTAAACGAGGGATGAGCGAAGCGGCGTTACTGAGAAAACAGAAGGCTATTCAGCGTTGTGGTATGTAACATTTTAGTCGACTTTCCAACATTTGGAATTAAATTATCACGATATGCCTCATTGAATTTAAATTTTTGTTTTTTTATAACAGGCATCGGTGGATTCTCTGTGAAAATCGTAAAAACGAGGATTCCGTCGCGGTCAGAGCCGTCTAAAGAGTCCAAGAAGCCCAGGAAACGTAAAGCCAAAAGCAAGATTCTTGAGTATATTCCCCCCATGATACAAGATGCGTTCTTTGGGAAGCATCTTTTGACAGCGGGAAGGATTTCTCCGGTTTGCGATGAAAATCCACTTCCTGAAGACAATCTTCTTTGGACAGCCTCTGCCGATGCCGTCCTCCCTCTCTCTCAGGTTTGTACTGCATTCTTTCTGTCGCCGTTGAGTGAATGGAGAATATCGACAGATTCGTTTTTCTAATTTAAGTGTACTTGAGTCTTCATGATCTGTAAGTCTTCATTTGTCGTTTTAAAATCCATGCAACATTTCCATTCAAGGTGAGAAACTATCTCGGTGAATTTGTTGATGGTTAGGCGAAAATGGGCCTACCGCCCAAGGCTACTGAGACTAATAGAAGCATTTTTTCCTATTTTATTTTGCATTAAGCTTATAGAAATTCAGGAAGAGGCCATTCATTCTTTCTTCGGTTTGACCTAGATCCATAGAACGGTTCATCAGTCTTTTTCTACTTTTTACTGATTACCGATTTTTCCACCGTGTTGAGAAGTTTTTCATAGTCCAATTGAACTTCTGTTGATGTGACATACGGCTTCTGAATTCTGATTTTTTCGTTTTTTTTTTTCGTTCCAGGATGAACTGCACCTGATATTCAGCATGCAACAGAATCGAGTGAATCGAAAACGTGATGAGAAGGAGCACAAAATGAACGGGCAAAGAAAGCGTCGAGTTTGCCGAGTGCAGCGCCTGAAAGCTGGAGAAAAGCGACGGAAAGTACAAAAAGAATCTGAGGTGGATATTGTAGAGCCAGTAGAATCAAAGTCAGATGCAGACGATCCAGAGGAGGAGGAGGAGCCCACCGACGCCTGGCAGGACGTTCTGCTCAACCCTGATATTTTCAACGATGTGATGGTCGACTCTTTACTGGAAGCTGAAATCGAGGGTATGAATTTTATACGCATTGCTTTTTGAAGTTATCTTCGTTTTTCAAAGATGAGAATGTGTTTATTACAAATATATGTTTCTCGATCGTATTATCGTTTGAAATTACTTGTTTTTTTATTTTTTCGAATCGTCAACGATATGTAACGAATCCACAATGTCAGATGGTCATTTGGGTTTCGATGAAGATCTGCCGATTGAGAAGGACGAAACCTGTGGAAAACTTGACGAAAGTGGCCTTGGTTCAAGTTCCGTTGCGGATTCCGGGATTTCGGAAAGCGGCCCCGACTCCACACCTCACACGACTCACGCAAAAGATGACTTGGCTGATTTCTTGCTTCATGAGAGCTTCGACGAAAGTGAGTCTTGTCATGAGTTTCTGTTTTGATTTTAAATATTCAGCAGTGTCAACGCGTGGAAAGTATTGCTTTTAAGGAAAAATGCCTTTTTTCCATGCCAATTGCGAGGGTGGCGTTTATTACTGTATTTGTGAGTTCACGTCTTTGAACCGAATTTCGCCTTCTTTTCAGCTGATTTTCCTGCTATGGATGCAAAAGACTTGGAAACAGTGTTCAGTGTTGCGGCAGGCCACCAGGAGTCTGAATCTGTTGGAACTGGGGACCAAGAGTGTTGTTTAGTGAACGATGAACACGTGATGCCTTTGCCGCAAACGATAGGGCCCGTCATTCAGCAAGTCTATGATCCTGTTCAGATGCCTGTGCTTGCATCTGTTCCATCCTCTGACGCGTAAGTCGAATTCACGACCGAATTTTTTGAAATTTGCGAGAAAAACAAATTCGGAAGGTAATCATGGCGTTCCTCGTGCTTGACACATTTCGAATTTTCCTCTTTCCAAGTAATGATTATAGTGTATTAAAATATATTGATGTGTTGCAGAAAATCATTTGAAGGAACATCTTTTGCGTATTTTTATATTTCGCGGTCCGTTTGGTGTTCTTGTATGATACATAGGTTGATAATTAAATCGCTTCCTCAGGTGTTATTACGGAAATAGTAACGAATCGCTACACGTGTCCGACGCACCATTATCTATGGATTCGTCACATGAGGAACCACCAGGATTCATGATCAAATCTGAACCCGAGGATGTTTTCAGCGGAAGTGAGGGATGCAAGAAAGAGCCGAGACCCGCATCGAGAAGTCTTTCGAAGTGGGAAACAGAGGAGACTTTGGGAGACAAAGCTACAATCGCCCCGGTGCTGTTTGCAAACACGTGTCGTCCGGATTTCTTGGAATTGTATCCCGGTAAATCATTTTCATATTTTCTTCCTTCCCTTTTGTTTTCCGGACTTTCGTATTTACTCGAGTTCTTTGCGTCCTCAAGTTAGACTCGCACCTTGATTTTTTGGCCCAAAATTCGAAAAAAAAGAAATAAAATGATTAGTAATCAGAAAACTTCTGCAATAATTGAATGAAAAAAATTTAAAAATTTTATAGTGTTCTATAATAAAATGTGAGTATTTAAAGCGAAATTTTGTGTCTACAGCATGGTCAGATCGTCAAAGACAAATTGGGAAAGCATGGCGAGCACTGTCCTGCGAAGAACGACAAGATTTCGTGAAGCGAGCACGCGATAATCGAGCTGCATTGAAGCTATCAAAACCGGCGTCATCTTCGACGCCGACGGCCCCTGTTTCGATGCCTTGTTGGACTCCTGCATCTCAGCCAGCTCTGCAATCCATGCCGCAGACTGTTCCACAAATGAGCTACATGGCATCCCAAGATTACGGAGAATACGATCAAACCTTGGACATCATGATGTCGAAACAGAAACAGTTGCGGGATTTCCTGCAAAACCAGCAAATGGAGCAATATGGACAGGATTGGTGTAGTGGGATGCAAAGTGAGTTGATTTTTTATTTGGAAGTTCCATTTTCATGTATATTTGAATTCATGAATTGTTTTCGTTTACTTGAAAATATGGCCTCGTCAATAAATAAGCTCTCCGAAGATACCCAAATTTATTTTAGTCCAGGTGCTGCTGATGAAGATTAAATCTTCAAGTGATCAAGAAAATTATTTGTGTTCGTTGAATTTTATCGTTGTAAGCTAGTAAAAATGTTTTGCTGGAATGTTGATATATTTTTTTTCAATCCTGACATGTTCAATGGATTGAACCATCTACGAAGGATGACTCGGAAATATTTGGCCGAATTTTAAAACGGCAAATCTACACTACTGTATATTGGATGAAGCCGGATTTGGTCTCTAATGAAAGTTCAATATATCACCGTTCGTAGATTTTGCAGTTTAATTGTATAATTATACCGAGTGTTTGAACTTATATTATCCGGACTTTGATTTTTGTGTTGAAATGTTGATGCATTGAGAGAAAACAATGCTGCTCATAGCCTTGTTATCCAACAATATTTGATTTATTGTTGACTCATAATCCTCCTTAACTTCCATTATTTGTGGGGAAAGACGGTGGCATTATGTCATACCATCCTTTGACGTTTGTTCATGTTTTTAATGAGAATATCGTCTTAAAATTCGTTTATCCTGACAAAGGCATCTGGTGATCGGTCCCGACAATCGAATTCGTATTGTATTTCTATACATTCAGTTCTTTGTGAACAAATGGAGCTTAATTTATTAATTTTTTGTGAGAAAATGCGACGAGTTTTGCTTTTGTTGGGAGACAGTAATTAGAAAAAAAAATCAGACTGAGTACCCAGATTCCTTCTGATCCTTCCAGGTGGAAATCCGGAAAAGCAAGGTGCCTTCCGCTCCCCAGCTCCTCTTCATCCTCCGCCAGCACCTACCCCCCTTCCTCCGCCTTACCCGCAAAACACGGGAATAAGGGACCATTCGGAATACGGGTCACTGACGCCCACCAGGGCCGAAGTACACAAGCAACCTCTTCTCCTAGAAGATCTTTTGGAACAGGAGAAAAAGGAGCAATGTCGTTTCGCACCGCAACCCTCGCCGCAACAGCAACAAGGCGTTGTGAATCATCAACAATCGTTCACTGATGTGCCAGTTGCGGCCACTCGAGGTGAATATATGCATGAGACGTACCGTACTTTAAGGGGCCAAATGATGGGTGAAGGATTTCTTGGTCCGTTGGGTGGGCGGAATGCATCGTTCTTTGTGACCACTCACCTATGCACCTCGAACGAAAGTTGAAGTTTGCATGTTCATAGAAAATGACGCGTCACCTCGTTTTATATCAGTTTTAATCATGAATGGTTTGAGGAAAACTCCTTTTTCAATTCAAATTTACAGTACGGAAGTTGATTCGATTGTAAAGATTCTGTAATTTGTCTGTTCAATTTACTCGTGTGGAAAAACTTGATGTATAAAATATTCTGTGAGAAGTTAGTCACTGATGCAAAGTTGATTTAAAATTCACATTAATCAATATGTATGTTTTGGTATTCATGTGAAGAGCTCGCAATTGAGATATTTTGGTATTGGGAATTGTTCAATTAAAGTTTTAATTTTGTAAACTTCGCTATTTATGAGCGTAAGTCTAAAATTGGCGATTTTTGTACAGATTCACCCACCAATGTAAGGTTTATTTGAATTTTGGATTCTGTCTACCGTATTACACATGAACGAGAGCTTATCGTTGTTGTTTTGGCGAAGCCTTGCTTTCAATGTTAGTTTTTTCTGCAAATTTTTGTGGAGTCCTTTTTTTTGTGTTGAGAAAGTTTTAATAACGAGGTGACTAATCGCACATTTCGACATTGAGTGGGTTTACCTTAGCTAACGGTATTGTCTTGTGCAGAAAATTTAGCTAATAAGTTGGATTTGTTGTGGACTGAAGGCGGTTATAGAGCATCGGACGTCGGCTGGGGTTGGAATGGCGGCCCGTGTCATTATTACCCGCGGCCGCCGACTTATTATCCTAGTTACCCGGCTCCGTATTCGTACCGAAGCCGGTTCAAGCCGCCATACTACAATGAGGTGCCGTACGGGCAAGAAACTGTTGATGGTACGTCTCCTTGATCGGTGCTTCGGAACTTTCCTTTCGGAGGGATTTTCAGAGAGCTTTTGTTTCTGTAAAATTATAATCGGTGTCGAACGGCAGTTTTTGTTTTTTTGTTTTGTTTCAATTTGGGTTGGATTAGGGGAGTGTAGTTCGGCTATTTCTGTTCTTATTTGCAACTCAAGAGGTTTGTTTATGTCGGTTTTGAGTCGATTAAATTTTGAATGTTACATTCTAAAAAATTCGCGTTGACAAATGGTCCATGTGTAGCATGATTATTGTCGATATTCGTTATTTTTTCCAAGTAATATTTGGTTTACCATTTATTAGATATTTCATGCTGCAAACGAAGGATCTTTTACTTTAATTCGATTTTATGCTTCAAGCGGAATTCATTATCTCTGAAGGAGGTTTGGGCAAGAAGAAATCGTGACAGGCTTTCTTGTAATCGTCACTGAATGCGCATGGTTTTTTCCTCACTTGCATGTCTATTTCCGCATGTTGAGTGTACAAATATGTGTTCCTATTTTCGAATGAATAATTTGTCGCTGCTTTGCGAGGCACTCGCATAAAATTTTCTGAATTCCTTTTTACGAAAAGCTACGTCTGGAAGAGGAAATTCTGCAAAAGAAGTCGTTACTCCTCCTGCGCCGCCGACACCTTGTGCCGTGTCTCCGATGCCGCCACCGTCACCTCCTCCGAAAGTCGTTTCATCAGAGGAAGATCGTCGAAAACAGTTCCAGTACGAACAGTGGCTGACGCAAAATGCCCGCATTTTGAGTATGCGGCAAACGCATTATCAAACTGAGGTTGAAAGATTCAGAAAGGTGAAATATTTTATTCTATCAAACTGAGGTTGAAACACTTTTGTGTTTCGTATACGAGTTTACAGGCAAATTTAGATTTAAGTTCTGTTTTGTTCCCATAGCTGCTGTACTTGAAAAGTCGATTCTGCATTTTTTGAAGGGCAGGAAAGGTAAACAAATATTTCCATCAAGATTTTTGCATCATCTTTGCGGCTGGATGTTAATGTTTGGATGAATGGTAATGATGACTCATGGGACTGTAATTGCTCGAAACATTTCATTACATTCTATCGCTTATTAGGGTGTATTTTCGAAATCATAAGTCAAATTCGTTTATCCTAAAATTCTGTTCACCCTCGACGTAATTTCAATTTTAGGTGAGAAGAACGCTACTTACCCGACAGCGACAATTGAGAAAAACCAGCATGGAGTTGAACCCTCAAGACAGCGCCACTCTCGAAAAAATTTCAACTGAGCAATCGGACATTCAAAGGCAATTGGAGCAGTGCAGGAAAATGATGAAACAACATTCGGGTCTAATGAATGTGAGTTCTGAAATGTATTTTCATCTCCACGTTTCGACAGGGGAAATTGATTCCACGTGGACAAAACTTGGACATCATCCTTGACCGTTGCCTCGATTTCCCCCATTTCCCCCCACAATATTGAAAACGCAACGAGGAAATGCAAATATTTTAAATTGCATTAGTTTGAACGTCTTTTCGGTCAAAGGAAGAATGCGACCATGAATTGTTATCTATTCCCTCGCAGTGGTTTCAAATTACTCGCAGCTTTTTCTGTTTCTTTCAATCATTTTATACCTTCATTTTCATCAAATTCTTTTCTCAAGACGAGAATGAAATTCACATTTCTTACATTATGTCGTGCGTAATCCAATATTTTTTTCGGATGAAGGATTATTCAGCGAAGTATGGACCTTTGGCACCTCCGCCGCCAGTACAAGAGCAGGCGTCCCCAGTGTCACGCAACGCGCCGGTTGGCCCGGTTGAATGCTACCAGACGGACCAGCGCTACCAGCACGCCATAACACCGGGCTACATGGCGGCATCTCCGATGCAGTCGCCCATGACGCCGTCACCTGGTTCGTACCATCATCCGTACCCGAGTCCACAACAGGCGTCAGTTCCCCCTATGGTTTCCCCCGGGATCCCGTACTTGAACGATGATTCGGCCGCGAGTATCAGTGGATACCAACCACAAGGACAGACATGTGTTCCTCCTCACTCGAGTCCAGGCTTTCAGGGTATGCATCACCACGGGGGTAACGTTGTTGGTGGTGTTGGAGTGGGGCAAGGATACGGTTATGCTGTGCATCACTCTTCGAGTCAGATGAACTGCCGAGTTCCTGGTCAAGGTAAGCCTACTGTTCCTTATGAACCCTTCGAGAAGAAAGCCTCATTTATTTATTTTTCTTACAAAAAGGAAGTCAGTTGGTTTAGGTAATGTTTCAAAGATTTCATTCTTGATTAGAAAATGGACATCTTAAGCAATCTTAACTATTAACGATATGTAAAACCGATTCTTGGAACCGGAATCAAGTAAAGCTCATGTGAATTGATTTGTTGAAGAAAACGAGTTGAAGCTCGATCTGAAATACATTACGGCACAGAAGTCAAGAAGGATTTTTTTTTCGGAAAAAATGGACAAATAACTCCTGTAGATTGAAAGTGTGAATTTCATGATACGGTCTGACTTGATACAAGACGTATTCTTTTATTTTCGAAATTGTGACGCTGGAAGGAATTGAAGTTTCAGCACCTTCGGGTGCCCAATTGTATGTTTCTGCTCACAAAATTGTACGCCATTCCTCCAGGGAACATGATGATACAGAACCAGTCTGCGCAGTATCAACAAATGCCTTCGAGTAACGGTGCTTACAGCATTTCCATGGATCATCACGCGATGCAATATCAACAGCGTCCTGTTCCTCAACAAATGTACAGTTACGATCAACTGACATCACCGGAGCATCAGCAGGAACAGCACCACAATGCCTATCATAATCCTGGACAAACGTCTTGCGCTGCACAGTATCATCAGACTACTGATGCTGGGCATGTTCAACCACCAACACCCTCCTCAGCTACCCCTACACCTTCAAGCAGCAGTCACGGCGGCGGAAATCCCAACCATCCTTTCCTGCCGCTATCGAGTGAAGGAAAGTGCAAGTTGGGTTTACGCGGAGGAAATCCGTTGACTGGTTCGCAAGCACCTAAACCCTTTATGTTTCCGTGGTTGAATTTCGGAGGGAGATTCAAACTCGGTTTGCGCGGCGGGAACCCATTTAGTCCGGGAGTTTTGCCGTGTGTTCCATCTTCGGCAAGTGCGGCGTCCACGACTTCTTCATCGCCGAGCACGTCGATGCCTGCGGACTCGTCTGAAAGCGTTGCAGCCTCTCTGGGTGCTGTGTTTGAAGAAGAAGACGATGCATCAAGAGAGGATGCCAGTTACCAAGGAGGTATGGAGGAGAATCCAGATTCAATGTCTCAAGCGCCGGACTCATGTTCTGTGAGTGCCGTTGAGAGTGAAGATCAAACAGTACACAGTACTGAGTGCGAAATGATGGAAGAGTTTGGTTCGAATCCAGTGGAAGAAATTGTGGACGATTATTCCTCTGATCCAGTAGAAGAAATCGTTGATGAGTACTTGACGCATCCTGTTGAAGAAGTCGTTGAGTCAGGTATGCACATATAATGAATGAAACTCATCGTGGAGCGACGAATTCAGTCTAGGTGTTTTTTTTTTTTTAGATCCGCAGCCTGAAGAGCCGGATATAAGCCTTCCGGATATTCCCGCAGCTAATGCGCCAGACGTGCTCAACGTGATCGATGATCATTTCGAACAAGTCGCTGAAGAATCTATTGTTGCTTCATTAGAAGACGATATCACCGAAGCTCAAGAAAGTTCACCAAATGCTGGGTCATCTCTGCCGATAGAAAAAGCAAGTGCATCGGAGGCAGTTCAGGAAGAAGATTATCACCTTCAGGAAGCTTACGAATTTGAGTTGGCTGAAGAGGAAGAAACAGGATCGTACCCCGAGGAGGTTAGTTTTTGTATTTTGTTCATGTACATTATTGAGCATTCTTTGCGGAAAAATTTCTTCTCTACTGACGAAGAGGAGTACTGTACAGTATTTATTTCTTCTCACGTTTCACTTGACGTCTCGGTCTCCGCTTTTTTTTCATCATAGCTGCGTAATGTTGCCGGATTTTTCTTGTGGTCGTTAGGGCCAAGTTAGGTTTGGATATTCTGATTGAGATACATTAGATTAGTTGCGTCCTGTTTGTTTAAGATGAGAAATCAGGTTTAAGATGAGAATTCAGTACTGTAGATAAGGTTATGTTTAGGCAGATCAGTGGTTCAAACGATTCATGCTAAATGCTCCTGGGCGTTGAATTTCCGAGAACCAAAATTTAAAAGGCAACACTTTTAATATTTATTTTCCAGAAATCTCACGCGGACGCATCATCGCAAAAAATCCAGCATGAAAATCAGAAGACCGCTGACCAAGGGTGCCGAATGGAATTGGACGGCTTTGAGATTCATGCCCCGACCGTTCACGAAGCCGCCATGCTAAGCGATGAGGCTAACGCCGAAATATTTTCTTCGTCGTTTTCTTCCATGAAGCAGACATCATACAATGCTCTCGTTGAATCACGGGAACGGCCGATCGGAAATATGTTGTTCGACGTTCTGCAACGCCCGATGAACGAACAGAAACGATCAGAGGACTCGCCGAACTTACCGCAACTGATGAAAGCGCTTACTGGGAAACGTGAAGTAAAGAAGGACCGTCGACAAAGCGGGAGTCAGTTGGCAGCGATGCTGGAAGGTGTCGGGGAAGGGAAATCCGAGATGGACAGTTTCGGAGGTTTGATGAAACCCCCAGCAATTATTTCTGCAAATGAACAACAAGCCTCTGTTTCTGCCGTGTCTGCAGCAGTCTCTAACTCTGCGCCGTTATCCACACCGCTTGTGACATCCGTAGCCCCGTTGCCGGTAAAAAGCCCGGATTTCCAGAACGTGTTGTTGAAGCAGTTATTGCAGAGTACGTCACCAACTCCTGCTGCTAGTGGAGACCCTGCGTCGTCAGTTGCAGGTGCTGTTGTGTCGACCTCCGTTGCTGGCACTGGTGGAGGAGTGGCGAAAACGTTTCTCGTGCCACAAGTGGTGACGCAAACTGCGTCAGTGACGGCAACAGCAGCACAAAGTGGACCGTCGGTGGCATCAGCCATAACGTCGTCTACTGGCCCAAGCACATCGTCGGTTGCGTGTGCTGCGTTGTCGTCACAACTATCACCTATCGCGTTTCAAGTGAGTGCTTCGTTGTAATTCACGAAGAATTGGATTTTTTTGAAGGTGGTGGATTGGAAAAATTGTTCGAGAATTCAACGTAAACGTTACTCGTCGACAAAAATTCAAGCGTCATTAATGTACAGTGCGAATCCGGTTTCCGCTTGAAGTCGTAAAAGGAAATGATATCACCTCGACGATTAACAAATATTTATTCAATTATTGAGAAGAGATTCAGCATATTAGGACATCACTGCAAAAAATCCATTAAACTCGGACCATGCTTGGAAAAAAAAAATCTTCGTGATAACTCGAAAGATGGAAGTACGAAAATGAAATGCCCGTTTTTACTAGTTTACCGCGGGCATCATTTTTCAAGAATTTTAGCGAGGAAATTATATGATACGTTCAAGTGCGGTTGAGGTATTTTTTTCTGATTTCAATTTCCGGGATTTTCAAAATTATTTTCATGATGAGAATGTACCGGATGATTGTTCCGCTTGATTTGATGATTTTAAAGCACTATACAGTAGTTTTCCGTTAAACAACTTGTTAAATTGCATCGAAACCGAAGATCCCGCGTATTATCCGACAGTGATTCGAGCATGAGAACTTCTTGTTTTTAGTTTTGTTCAACTTCGGAAATTTCTCTCATTGTGTAAAAATTCTTGTATGAAATGACGAACTCTATTTTAGGTTCCCAGAGTTATGTCGAGTGCAGGATCAACAGCACACAAACTTCTCGGACAGCAATTCCATCCTGTTCCATCATCGGTAGACACAACCTCAGTGACAGCGTCAATTAATCAGCCGATTGTTAGCACCGGAGCTCCTCCAGAAAAACCGCCTTCATCTGAGCATCCACAATTGGATTTCCCTGTTGAGCTGCCGGAGACATTGGCCGCCATTAAAGTAGAAACGCATTTGTTGCCAGTGACGACTATGTCGGAACAGGCGGCTTTGCTAGAAGCCGAACGTATTTTGAAAATGGCTGGAATCAAAGAAGCTGATCCTATCATAAAAGTTGAGCCGGAATCGAGTTCTTGCTCAGTCGGAAGCAGGAGTTCTGTGCCGGTGTCTCCAGTACCAGGTAAAGGATTATTTAGTGGAAGTTTGGGTCATTTTTCTGTACATTTCGTAAATTTTTTAAATTTATCGGGTCTAAAATCGGAAGAGCGAGGAAATATTTTTTGCGCCGTTTTCGATTTCTGCCGTTCTAACGAGTTGTGCATCCCCGAAATAAGAATGCACGTGTAGCGTTTAAAAAAAAACTTTTTATTTTGTGTCTACGTTGATCCTGTTTTAGAATTTCGTTGAGAAGGAATTTTTTAAACTTCTTAGGTTCTTGGTTGGGCGTGGATACTCCCAAACCGACTTTGAACACAGACGCAGTGAAGGTGGAATTTGGAACTACCTCATTAATGGACGACATTGTGAATGGATCAGAAGCAGGATCATTGAAACCAAGCCCTGATGAAATGAGGGGAAATCCTTTGACCGAAGCAGGTAATTATCGTGAAGTTGATTGAACTTGCTATTTTTGGCCTTTTTTACGTTCTCTGATTTTAATTAAAATCTCTTACGAAATTTTTATGCCGGAAGTACTCGAGTTTCATCTAAGGTTTTACTCTTGCAAAGTTTCTTGCAGACATCTTCATTTGCTGGATTGAGAACATCATAGGGGTGGCCAAAAATGAAAGTTTTGAGTGCTGAAACATATTTCTTGTTCCTGAGCTCTAAAACGAATCTTATTAAAAATGTGAGGCAAACGTGAGCCTTTTGACGGGATACTTCTAAGAAACAAATTCAGCGGCACAACCTGTTGACTCAGTGCGTCTGTTTGTTAGTATAAATTTTACTTCGAGCGTGCAACCCTGTCGAAATGGACGGTAGAACAGTGATGTCCGACATCGTAGCAATTCTCATTCGCGCTTTTTCGAGCCTTGATTGTGGAAAACTTCGTTAGCTCAGCTTGTCCAAGATTCAGTCAGCGGCGCGTTTACTTGCATCGTCAATGTGTTGATTCTGGCGCGTATTGGATAAATGTTTAATGTTGAGAGCCACGATTTAGAAAGACCTCATCTGAATATCGCCGCTGCTAGAAATACTCCGCGATATTCAAATAAACTAATAAAGTGTAGTTTTTTGTGTTGTTCTGTTTTTTAATGTAATGTTTCTTGTAAAAAAAAAATAGTTGAAATTTTGAATCTTTATGAAATGTTTCTTGCCGAATATCAATTTATTAACACACCAGGTTGTATGCAATGCTGTATTATAAATTGTCTTAAAGTGTAGTGACAGTAAAGTGTGTGTTAAAGTGACATGTGTTTTCAAACTTTGCGTTTCAAACCCTGTAAAATTTTGAAAAATTCCAGAACTCAAGAAGCAGAAGGATTTGGAAGCCCGAAGAGCAAAGCGTCGACTCTACCAGAAGAAGCGCCGGATGATGGAGAATGAGCGGAAGGCGGCCCTTAAAGCAGCTGCCGAAAATGGCACGGTTTCTCCACAGATCCCTCTGACTTCTCCATCGTCTGATTCTGGATCCCGACCTGGACCGCAGAAAGGCGTTAAACGAGCTGCAAATTCGTCAAATGGGATGATGAATCACGCTGCACCTGTTGCGGTGCCACCAGGGTTCATTGGCGGCAGAGCCACACCAGTCACTACAGGCGCTCCGAATGTTGCAGTTGGTACCATTTCTCCCTCTGGCGCCCCTGCGAAGAAGAAATCACGCAAGGTTGGTGGAGACGCGATAATTTCTTTTGTTCAAGATACCTGAACAGAAGTCCCTTCGAATTGTATTCAGTAAACCTCTGAAATTTGCCTTCAATCTCGATTTAAATACCTCTTGTGTTTTTCAGAAGTGTTGGCACATGATATAATGTTCAAGTGAAGCATTTTTTCAAGCATTGCTAATTTTTTAATTTTGTGTGTGAAATTTTCTATTATAGCAAAGTGCAAAGGTCGAAGAAGTGGACTACGAAGGATTCATCGACAGCCTAATGCAAAAGTTACGATCAATGCCACCTCCAAGTTTAGGAGAACCGCCGATTCCTGCTGATGTTTCCGAACCAGCTTTGCCACCCGTAGAAGAACCAAAAGTGCAAGAGCCTAGCAAAAAATCGGGACAAATGTTGTCCAACCGCGGGGTAAAGTATTGTTTCCCTTCGATGCAAGTCGTTTTGTCACGTGTGCAAATGTAATTGAACATGTGTGTTATACAGGAGAGATTCGATTGGTTGTCGACTTCTGGAAGGCTGATTGGCGAATTCGGGAACGCCGTGCATCCCGCAAAAGGAGACTATTACAATTTGCGAGGAAGTTATGAGAAGGAAATGATGAAGGATGCTCACGTTGAAGGTGGATTGAAGTATTACTCTCTGGAATTCGGACCCAAAGATTACCATCACGGTTAGCTATCATTGAATAAATTTTGATTTTGTTCAGCATTCTGATACCCGAACATTTTTTAATAGATGGAAGTTTGAAGCTGGAGGTCTTATTGAAGACGCGTCTTGCAAGTCTGGAGAATGCACGCAGTACGCCGCAGATCATCGCAAAAAACAACTCTGGCATGTTTTCACCCACCAGTGGTCTTACGTCTCGGCAACGTAATCCAGACAGTCCGGAAAGTTACATTTCGTCTTCTTCACCCGAGTGCATTCTCGAGGACGAGCCGATAAAGTTTTACTCTGGCCTATGGAACTCATCTGATGAATCAGAGCAAGACGAAGAACCAAAAGAAGGCGCTGAAGAAAATTCCGGAATGGCACCAGCGCGGAAACGTCGCCGGCGTCGTTTTGCCACAGACGGTGGATCACCAGTTGTCCAAATAGTTACCCCTATCCCGTTGAGACCAGATGACGCTGACTTTCCGGTTTCCATGACGCCGCCGCGGACGTTGTCGCCGGATGACAAAGAGAATCTCAAGATGGGCGACGGGAAAATGACAGTAGTGGCATTGACTGGGCCTACAGCAACGACACCCACAACTGGGACAGCTATGTCTCCGCAGTTGCCGTTAAGAGAGGCGAATATCGCGGTGACGCTGACGTTGTCTGGCGACCGCATCAAGGACGTGGCGGCCGTCATCGGGAAACTGTCTTCCATTTTGGGGATTCCGACTCCGGCGACGTTTGAGATAGATGAGGTGATGGATGACAACTCTCTGTCGAACAGAGTCACGAGTGGAGCGAGTACGCCGATGGAACTGGGTGACAGCGGAAAAGATGGTGAGAAAAGTTGCCTGCTAAATGGAATCAATGCTTTTGCAGTAATAGTTTGGAACAAGGTGCACTCTAGCGGAAGAACCTCTCGAAGTCGAACTTCAAGGGTTCGGAGAACAAGTTTGAGTTAAGAAGGTTTCGAGTTTAGGGACACGGGCATTTTTTGTTGGAGGAAAGGAAGAAGAGATTTACAGAAAATTGTAATTAGTGATGTTCTAGGCCTTAAATTGCTTCTTAAATGAGTTGACAGGATGCTAAACTTAGAGGCAGGGGTGCATTTGCTCAATTAGTCTTTAACTTCCTTTGAAAACAGATCAAGTTGTTTATTTATTGCCTTTTTCTTTCCTGTGTCAAGAAAGTAATAGCGAATAAGCCGCCGGAAAATTCGAGTGATGGGGGTTTGATGGAGAATGCTGTTGACTTAGGGAGGTTTTTCAATGCATCAATGCACCTTTTCTTGGGAATTCAGATGGGGACTTGAAAAAAAATTGAAGAGAAAATTGGAATCGGCAAGCTTTTGAAGAATAGACTGGGATGAAGTAAATCGATTCTTTTCATTATTTCCTTTTGTTTTATGCGGGAAGTGGGAAATCGAACGATTCCCTTCTATTTATGAAATTTATAATCTTTTAAGCCGGGGCAAGGGCCACTTGAAAAAAAAATTCATTATTTGTCGTCGAAGAAAAAGGGTGACGATGAGCCATTAGAAATCCGGTTTTGAAATAGGGTAGTTTTTATCGATTGAATTTGACTAATCAGAACCAGAAGGAATGGTTTATTACTTCCTTAAAGGGACGTTTTTGCAGGGTAGAATTTTCTGATTCTGAGATCCGATACATGAAAGAAAATCATTCTCAGATTTTTTTGCTTTCCGATCAGTATCCGACTCTATATCCTTGTCATCGCTGATGAAGCAAGCGTCGTCATGTTCATCAGCATCGTCAGGCTCTTTGGATAACGATCGTTACTGCAAACATTGCGATGTGTTGATCGGTATTGGCACAAACGAGGTTCGAAAATCTGCGAAAGACTTTGGCCTGAACTGTGGTACGGATGAAGAAATGCGTGAAGAGTTCGTCTTCTGCTCGACCAACTGCTACATGCAATTTGCGCTTATCAAACGTGTACCTGGCAACTTGACAGAGAAGGTTTGTCGAATTTTCTAATGCGTTCAATATAATAATATATGTTTTTGCATACTTGAAGTTTGTGGACAAAATTTTCTTTATGTTGAATAAATTTTCCTTAGTTTTCTTTTACTTCAATCGTTTTGCATTTTAAAAAATGTTTGCAGGGACTGGAATTAAAAATGGAGCCTAAAGACGACGACGACGAAGACTTGAAGCGAGAAATCGAAGTCCTAGGCCTGGGTGGAGTAGGAAAGCCTAAGATCAAAATGGAAGCTTGCGAAAAGCCAGATACCGATATTTTCCACTCGACACTGTTGAGCACGGTTCGACAGGGAATTTACATGCCGGAGGATATGGACATCGACGACATGCCGGAATCTCCTCCCTTGGCTCCCTCTATCCGTCTGCGAGTCGGCCCAAATTGTGTTCGTTCGTTTTTAGTCGGTATGCCAGCTACTGTACCCAAAGAACTACGAGATCGGCTTGAGTGGCTAAAAGATCCTCGTCCAACGCCAAGTCCGGAAAGCGCTGTCGAAGAAGAAGAGTCCTCGTCGTCATCGGAGGACGAGTCCAGCGAGGAAGAATCTAGTGAAGAAGAGACGACGGTTGGACGAGGGTCAAAAGGAGACGGAAAGGGTAAAGGGGATAAACGCGTGGGTTCGGCTGCAACTGGAGGAATAGAGTCAGAAGAGGAAACTGGACGATTGAGCACACCGAGAGACAAAAACTGGAAGGGAATTGCGTACAAATACTTCGATTTTGAAGAAGTTCCGGTGTCGAAGAAGAACAGACCGCCTACTGAAAATGAGCTTACGGATGTAAGTTGTCAACCCCTATTAGGTCCGGGATTGTTTAGTAAATGTAGTATCATTTCGCATATTTTTTCGCTAATTATGCTGGTTACTGAGATTCACTCTCCAAGTAATTTCAAAATGTTGATATGCGAGTTCAAAACGTTATCATGCAGTGGGGAAAGTTGGCATTTTTGCATTCTGAAAATGTATATTGAAATGTAGACGAGCGTGTGTAATCTTGTGCTGCTTATATGTCGATGTTTCAAAAGTACAGTATTGCTTAAAACAGGAAAAATGTGACTGACCATTAATACAGTATTTCGCGCAGAAACCGCGTTGTCCTAGCACGCTGCATTTACTGCGAGCGACATCTTTCCTCGAGGAAAAAGTTAGTCACTGACCGAGAAAAAACAGAAGAATTTATCGCGTGAATTGGGAATTTTTAAATTCACCGCAACCCCTGTAACAGTGTCGAACCATGCCATGTTTATGCAAGAGAATTTCAAGACTAATGGATATCTTTTTGTCTTCTCAAGATGTTATTCCGGATGGGAATTTGTCTGATGCCAACATGGGATTCATTGGACCAACGAGAATGTGCCTTTTGCGGAGTGCCGGGTGATGGAAGTTCTGATGGTCCTGCGAGGTGAAAAAGCTTAATTTCAAAAGATAATTTTCTATATCTCTTCTGAATGATTGATGTTTTGTAAGCACGTTTGGAAATCCTACAATGATAAACTGTCGAATTTCAGGTTGTTGAACTTGGATGTCGACAAATGGGTGCATCTTAACTGCGCCCTTTGGACCGACGAAGTTTACGAAACTACCAGCGGAGCTTTGATGAACGTGGATCAGAAACTGAAGCAGAACGCCGCTTTCACGTGTTCGCTCTGCGAACGTCCCGGTGCCTCTGTGCACTGCTTCAAGCTGCGTTGCACCAACTACTACCACCTGGGTTGCGCTTCGAAGGCCGGCTGCGTGTTCTACAAAAACAAGACCGTGTTCTGTCAACAACACGTTCCCAGGAGTGAGAAAGAAAACGAGCTTACGACTCTTTGCGTATTCCGGAGAGTCTACGTGGACCGTGACGAAGAGCGACAAATTGCGAGCATGATGCACATGAACGATAGTGACAACTACTTGCTACGTGTTGGATCGCTGATTTTCATGGAAATCGGACAGTTGTTACCTCAGCAGTTGAATAACCCATTGTATCACACCAAGGAAGTGATTTATCCTGTCGGATACAAAGCTGTGAGTATCTTTGAAGAGGAACCCTGTCGTCCCGAGTTTACTATGACTTGGAAAGCCATATTCGTTTCCCTCGAAGAGATTTATCGATTTAACGTCCAATCTGGTTTTCTGGAAAGACAAGCTGGTGTCGCCTTTAATCACTTACAGTAACTTGATTTTATTTAAAACTTACATAACGTCACTCAACTACTCATCGTGTCAGAGGTAGGAAAATGTAACGACGCCTGTTTGAGTCTAATTAAAGCTATGAGTCCCAATCGATCACGCAGAAAATGGAGAATGAAATTGCGGAGGCCGAATTTTTTCAAAATTTGTTTTTAGCCATTCGGCGAGGACGTATTTTGGAAATTGGGCTTTGGAAATGTTTTGGTTCGAGGTACTTCGTTCGATGATTTTTATTCGTAAAAGTAAGCAAAAATATTTAAAAAAATAACTCCCTTATTAAAAAAAAGATTACCATTGATCAGTAAGTGCAATTTTGCCACTTCTTAGGTGAGGATTTATTGGAGTTATCGCCGGCTCAACAAACGTTGTTGCTACGAGTGTACGATCACGGAAGAAGAAGGAAGACCGCAGTTCAGCGTTCGTTGTCGTGAGCGAGATCTGGACGATGTTACCTTTCTCGGTCGTTCTCCAAAGGAAGCCTGGTCGCACGTGCTTGAGCCCATAGCTCGTATGCGACTCGAAGCCGGGATTATCAAAATGTTTCCAAAGTTTCTCACTGGTGACGATTTATTTGGGCTGACTGAACCGGCTGTAGTGAAGATCATTGAGAGTCTACCGGGATTGGATGCTCTTGCAGACTACAGATTCAAGTATGGGCGGAATCCGATGTTCGAGATGCCGTTGGCGATCAATCCATCTGGTGCGTATATTTTGATTAATTTTTTAAAATCATGGTAGGGGGCTTCATAGAACACCCGTTGAGCATTGTTTCAATACATGAGCATATGGATTAAGTACCCGTGGTTCCACAGCGCCACTCAACTGATGTGATTCCTATTTAGGAATATTCATTTAATTATTTGGTACAGTAATACGAAACCTGTAATCCATGTTAATGCATTTTCCTGTTACTTCCATTATCAGTAAGAATATTGTATGTCTGGTGGTCACAATTTCATTTGATATTAGACTTAATTCGTAGATTTTTCTTTGTCTGACGAGCAATCAGATTAGCGAAAAACTTTGATTCGTTTATGTCTATTTTAATTCAAATTCAGAACTCGAGTTTAATTCTGTGGGTAGGAGCGCCTGATATGTATTTTCATCAAATAAATAATAAAATACAATACCTGTATTTTGAAAAACTATTTATTCGAAATAATTATTTTAGAATTATCAAGTTATTAAAATTATTTGGAGAAATTTTAAGACGATTACAGCTTCTCTAAAAGAAGCTTAAAATTACAAGAAAATAATTTTTGTAAGATGCTTTTTTAATTAAATTATTTTTTGGGATTATGTATTTGAGAAGAAATAATTTTTTCAGAAGTATTATAAAAAATTTTATTTGAAACATTTTGAGTTTTTGCAATCAACATTTGCGTCGTATCTTTGAATCAAGGAGGGAAAGTTTGAGCCCAGTATTTTCAGTACTGAACGGTGTTGGAGATTAAGTGGAAATGTCTATTGATCTCAACTATTTCATACGAAGATAATTGTAAGATTTATGTTCTTTTGAGAGCGGAAGAAATTAGAATTCGATGGCGTTCTAGGTCCGAGCGTCTACATATGTGTGGAATTTCAGCATGTTTCATTTCAACGATGTAATTTCAGGCTGTGCAAGAGCAGAACCGAGAGGGCGAACAATCAGCAAGCGTGTTCATGCTCAGCGTGGCGGTTGCGTCGCACGCAGCACAACCACGATGGCTTCAGCAGCATCCCCGTCTTCAGCGTCATCGTCATCCTTAATGGCTTCATTGCACAATTACGACATCTACGGGCTGTACGGGAAGCAGCCCGTGCACTCCAAGTCGTCGCAGTACAAAAAGATGAAGCAGGAGTGGCGGAACAACGTTTACTTGGCGCGGTCCAAAATCCAGGGCTTGGGACTCTACGCGGCGCGAGACATCGAAAGGAACACGATGATCATTGAGTACATTGGAGAATTGATCCGGCCGCAGATTTCCGAGCTGAGGGAGAAGCGTTATGAAGCCGCTGTGAGTTTCGCACTGCGCTTGTTTTCCGTTGGTCCTTGGGTGACAGGAGAAAAGTATCCAGGAGAAAACCTTGAGAGATTTTAAAGAATTTTGTCTTAATCCTAATGCAGGGGCAACTCGATTACCCGAGCTTTGATTGCTCAATTCGAGTAATTGCGCCCGTATTTTACTTTAGTCCAATGAAAAAAATGTGTAAAATCGACTTGCCAAGCACATGAAAACTGACGAACGCCAGAAATAATGCCCGAGAAGCTGGAGAAGCGAAGAATTACAGTTCCTGGACTTCTTGAAGAGCAGTTGGTTAAAGCACATTTAAAATCGTTAAAGTATTGATAGAAAAGTATAGTTAAAACTTTGTAGAACTTTTGATTAGCTATCATGTAAAAAAAAAAATTCGTAGGGCTCAAGAAAGGGTGAAGGCTGCTGAAATTTTTTTTCTGCCAATAAAAAGCTTTTCTCTTTTTTCGGGTCCATCATTTTAATCTTTTTAGAAATACGTCAAATGTCCGTGCATTAGATGAATAATAATACCAATCTTCAGACGAATAATGCTACCAATCCAAATTTTCTCTGCATCTTCAATCAATATTTGGCAAACTAGGGGCTTGATTGGCCTTTCAAATCACTGTCTTCATGACATGTATCTGATTGCTATCTGTTTTATTTTATTTATTTTTTAAAGTCGTAGTTCGACGTTCGAAACCCCTGACTGACTTCCTGTTACCAGCTGCCATTTTCGTTGTGGAATCACAAATGCCTGTGATGTATTGAAACACAATAATAATTTGAAACTCAAGCTGAAAGTTCGTGTTCGTCAGCGGGTAATTTAAATATGATATTGATCTCTTTCAGAATCGTGGCACGTACATGTTTCGTTTGGATGATGACCGAGTGATTGATGCGACTTTGAAAGGGGGCTTGGCAAGGTATATCAACCACTGCTGCAATCCGAACTGCGTCGCAGAGGCAGTGGAGGTCGATCGTGACGTCAAAATCATCATCTTCTCAAAAATTCGAATCTCAAAAGGAGAAGAGGTAATCGCGAGTTATATTTTTTTTCGAGTAGTATTTGTTTGTCTGCATTGTAGTGCTGATGTTGATTTTTTTTTCTCTTCGTGTTCGCAGCTCTCTTACGACTACAGATTCGACGTGGAAGATGAACAGCACAAAATTCCTTGCATGTGCGGTGCGTCGAATTGCAAAAAGTGGATGAATTGAGGTATCGTTTCGTTTCCTGTGCTTGTTGCTTGCTTGTTGAGTCAGGGATGAGTTTTATTGTTTTTCGTGCGTGAAGAATTCATTGATTTCCCCCCTTTCCCGTATTTGGCGTCAGTGTTCGCAAGGAAGGGTTTTAGGGTCGCGGTGGATATTGATCAAACATGCGGGGAAAGAGAGTTGCTATCGTTGTTGAAATGTTTGGGAAATATTTAAAAGTTTATCTTAGTCCACGGCACCGAAAGAAAAAAAAAGTTTTGCTATCCGCTGTTATTTTTGTGGGGATGGGCAACTAGGGGGACGGAAGTGAGGTTTGGAGAAGCGAAACGTTGCGACAATCCTGTTGTCCCCCGTCGAGGGCCCGAGTTTCCGGTGAGATTCGTGTTGAATTTTCTTTCTTCTGCTTCCGGCACAACGGCCTGAGTTTCCGCTTTGAGTTTTCCGCGGCGGGAATGGTCTAGTCACTCCCACCAAATTTTTGTTCCTGTATAGAGTTCACCCCCATGAGTTGTTTCGTGATTCGCAGATTTATTTTGTAGCGGCGAGAGTGAGCTTGGCTTGATTTATTTTTCTAATTATTGCACGGCAATCTCTCCCCCTTAGTGTGCTTAACGCAGTTCTTGAGCTAATTTCCACTACGCTGACGGGTCTTGCTTACGTGATGCCATTTTTGTTGGTTTCAATTCAACCGTACTTTATCCACATGATGCTGGGAAAGTCACGCGCAAAATTTCCGTTTTATGCGTTCGTTGCAAGTTTGAAAGGTATGCGAATAATTGTTTTTGCTTTTCGAATGCTGAGGCTAATTATTTTCATGTGGGAGTGAAAACGATTCTCAGGCTGGCAAGTTCGCGGTGCAATTGAGGCATGGAGGAAGTTTCACCCTCGGTAATGTCGAGTGAGATTGTTCGATTGCTTAGAATATGAAGGATTTTGTGCAAAGCATAATTACTTTTCCTGTTGACCGTTTGCGTAATCGATTTTGCTTGTCAGCGTAATGGAAATTGCTCTTGTTATGAGTTCTGACTTCTGAGTGGTTCGGAGAGAAGAAAAAAATCAGGGCGTCATTTCGTTCAAAAAAGGAGAAAGATATAGCGAAAGGAATATTGGCGGCCTTGAGGGCGTCGGCAAAAACCCGGCGTTATTTTTTACGGCCCGTAGAAAGAGCGACGAAAGGGATTTTGACGCGGCGGATGTTGGGCAGTTTTTTTTATTGCGCGCTTTTTTCAGAGGAGAGGAATTTCTCTGACTTTTCAGAGAATTTTTGACCCGGCTTCTTTAGTTTTGATTTTTAGACGGTTTTCCTTATTTGCGGGGCATTAGCTTGTCTCGGTGTTTTAATTTTTTTTCGGCGGCCATACTTTCAAACTTCTGTTTCGTTCACGCTTTATGTCTAGAATTGCTTTTTGTGTTCAGGGTTTTGATTTGTTTTCCTTTCGTCAGTATATGCGTTAATGGCATTTTACGTTTGGGAGAGAATTTTTTGAATGTGCCGGGCGAACATGAAAGACGTATTATTTTTTTGTGGCGTTGTGCGCTTTTGTGTTTCCTCCCGAGTCAAGTTCGTGCACATTCCTCGCGTCACGATCTTTTCGCTTGGATATTCGTTCACGTCTCTTTCGTTTCTTCCTTTTGTGATTTTGAAAATTCCTTTAATTTTCAATTTCCTCGTTTTGGACTTGCGTGGCTTAAACGATTCATCGGCATTATTGTGCGTATCAGTCGAAGGGTTTTTTTTACTGCAGTGTACGCGCTAGTGTGGGGTTTTTTTTAGTCGCCCGTGTGGAGTTTTTTTTTTTTTTCGTCTTGTTTGAGTTGCCGAGCTGGTCATGTGGCCGTAGGAAGAGAATTTTCTGCAGTGCGGAGGGCTTACTTTTCAGCTTTTTTTTTTTTGGTACCCCGTTGTCCCGCGTTGGCTTGTTTTATCTCCTACTTGCCTCGGAGTCGCCTGAGGCATTTTCGTGTGCCTAGGGTCGGAGCCGGGCAAATTGCACTCCATGCACTGAACCCGTGTTTTACCCGTTGTTTCCGGACTGAACTTTTGACTTTGGGGAAGAAAGCGGAAGAAAAGTTGAATTTTCTAAAAAAAAACAAGTTTGAGTTCATTGTCGGAACTGTTTCATCTTCCAGCTTTTCTCCTTCCAGTGAAAATTCTCCCAGTACATTACTTACAAACGCTTGCAGCTGTTTTCTTCCCAACTCCTTGTTGTAGTAGAAGCATTTTTAAATGCTGTGCTGTATTCATGACTCAAATGCATTTTTAAATTACTTGAATCTCTTATTGAGAAATGTGGGGGATACTTGAGCATTTGTTCATATTCTGCAGGATTACAGAGTATCTCTTCCCAAATGTTAATCTCTTACTTTTCAATTTATTGAACTATTTTTGAACGACTGGAAGCCCTTGTTGAAGGAAGAAGGTGTAGAATTCATGGAAATTCTGAATATTCGTTCAAGCTCTCTTATGTAAAGGTGTATTGGCCTTTTTCTCCATGCACATACAGAGAATCTGAAAAACATTTGTTCAATTTGAAAAGCAGGCATTTTTTCATGAAATATCGACATTTCACTGGACACGGAAAGCTGGAATAACGGAATATCCGCTGAATTTATCGAAATTTATTTGAATCCGTGTTTCTTCCTTCTTCACATTGATCATGACTTTTTTATGCTCGAGGGAAGTGTGATGTCGCAAAATGTTTAGGTCTTTGATTAATGCTGCCAAAGTTGCAAGGCCCGAGAGCTTGTCTTTGGTGGGCGCTTTCCGGGCTCTGCACGTTTCTCCAGTCGTGATGTAAGTTTGAAATATTTTTAACCTTGCAATTTTTAGGAAAGGTAGTGAAATGCAGTCTTTTATATCCTGTCGTCTTGTGTAAATCAGGGCGGAACCGATGAAGAAAAAGAAGCGATTGGATCCTGCGATTGTCCGCGCCAGAGAAGAGCGCAAGAAGAAAAAGCTCGAGAAGGCTATTAGAAAATTAGAGAAACACGCTAAGCAACTTAAACCCATTGAGGAAATGGAAGTCCCTTACCGTCTACGAACAGAAATCCCGTGAGTTGTGGCAATGTCTCAGAATTTACATTTTTTGAGTCGACGGAGAAAAAACTTCTACCGCATGAAACGAAACGCATTTTATGAAAGCTGTGTCCCTAATTTTCTGTATTCTTCGAATGATATACAGTACAAGTATAGTGAGGCCCCGCATAACAAAAGACTTACAGAACGAAAAATCTAAATTACGAAAAATGTTCGAGGATAATCTTGACGTTCGTAACGAAATTGTTTCACAAATATTTTTTTCAAAGTGGAAAATGCTTGAATTTTGGCAAGTTTTGGGCGAAAAATTTTTTCAAGAAAATCAAGGAACATTTTATAGAATAAGAATATGATTTTTCTCTTCTTGTTTTCAACATTTGTGACATTCAGAAAAATGGGAACACAAGCGTGTCGGGATTAATTTATTTCATTAATAATCAATCTTATATTCACGAATGTATGTTTTATTAAGAATAATGATACTTTAATTAAGGGTTATTATGAGCTTTTTGTAATTTTGTGGGATTATCTTGCAGTATTTATTTATTACCTTGCGGGAAATCGCATTACGGAAATTCTGCATTACAAAACGCATCGAGGAACGGATTAATTTTGTTATGTGGGGACCCGCTGTCATTGCCAAATTAAATGCGTCGTAAATTCTCCTTTGCCTCATTGTAAACGCATGCATTTTTCGCAGGTTGATTTTCACCGCTTGTGTTCGCATTGGGTGATCTTATCGTGGCACGTTTTCTAGCATGAGTTGTTAACCAAAGAAACTGCTGTTCTTATTCCTCTCCAATGCGATTTTATTCAATTTTTTTCTGAACTTGTCTTATTCGAAGAATGCGAACGAGGAAGTTGCCACCAATGACAGCCGAAGAATTGGAAAATCGAATTGAAACTTTAAAAGAGTGGGCCCGTCATAGAGGGAAAGTTGCGATTGCAGAAGCCAGCTGGATTGAGAAGATGGTACAAGCTCAAGATAAAGCATTGCAGGAATTACGGAAGGAAAGCGAAGAATTGTACCAAGCAGCCATACAGGTGAATTACCATTCACAAGATTTTATGCTCGGAGTTTTTGCGCTAATTTCGTGCCCGACTCCGCTCTCTTAACCTTATTTGCCAGAACCTACCTTAACCGGATCTGACGGGTCTAACCTCAACTAAATTAATGGATGTGCAGTAATGTATGTAATGACAAATTTTGAAGAATATGACGCATAAAATACGATGTACGAAACTAATTATGTATACCGACTTAAACCTAATTTTACGGTGTTGTATAAACGAAAAAAAAACTTGTATTAACTTTGAGAAAGATTGTACGGCGATGAAATGATTCACATTTAGGTGAAACATAATGTAAAGGCCAGGAAAATCAGAATCAAATCAGTTCTATGCCATTCTAAAATTTCGGTTTTCTTATGTTTTTCTTCGCAGATCGATCCCGAATTACTTCCGTACCGGACCAAAGGCTGTGTTGAATCGGCGCCTATTTCGAACTATGAACCTGCGGATGGTTACATTCACGATGTCTCGAGGAAGTGGACTTCATAACGTCAGCCTTCGCTTCTGTAGTGAAAAAGGAAATGCGAATGCTTTAGTGCAATCTGAACTTGTTGATTCTACGTTGTTTTTAATTTCCGTGCGATGGAAATGAACCAGGAAGATTCTGGGAAGGTCGGTTGTATTGGTTTTCCTCTTTCTTTTTTTAATATTGTTACATTTTCAGAACGGAGGTGATGGAATTATGAAGGGTATTTCCTTTTGATTTAATTTTAGGTAAGTTAACTCTGGAGTCCATGAAATTATTCTTAGTCGGAGGCCCACAGCTAATGCAGCACTGTTGCATTCAGACATGGTAAGGTGCATGTGAGCATTATTGTGAGGTGATGAGCTGAGAAATAAAAAAAATTAAATCGTATAAATTTTGTAAGGGCTGAAACTAATTTAATTATTGTAGATTTGATTGGTGTGCAGTTCGAACAGCGACTAGATGCCTTGAAGCAGAGGCTTGAAATTAATGCCGAATTCCCTGGAATAAACAGATCTCACGTTCAGTGTAAAAAAAAATAATTCATTGATATGTATTCTACGGATTTTTAAATTTTGCCCAATTCGCTGAAAAATAAAGGCTTCGAAGTCTACTTGCATTTGATGCCCCTTGTTTTCGTCTCCGATTCCTAGGAACCCAAGAACAAAAGTGCCCATTTTGCGTATGCAGAATGGAGATTCACCTCTTCTCATTTTGTGAGGGAAGAGTACAGGACTATACTTCGTAATAACTGTGGACTTTATGTTAGACATAACTTATATTTAATTTCTCGATAAGCATAGTAGAAGCAAAAAACGTCCGAAGTGATTCACGAAAAAAACCCATCCTGCCCAGCTTGAAATTGTGGGGGCTACAACACAGAGCTGCATTTATTCAAAATTTTATGGAAAGCTTCGCGAAAATTTTTATGGATGTTGGAATAAATTATCCTCTAATGAAGTGGAAGGGTTATTTGATTAATTAATCATTGATGCAGCCCAATGTCGAAATCGGAGAAACCAGCGAAGGTCGAATGCGAACCATGGTTCCCTCGGTGTTACGACGGATATGAAGAAGATCAAGATGGTTAGTGGAAAACCTGCTGAAACCCTTGAATTACTTCAAAATGAAGATAAACTTACAGCAAGTTAACGAAAATTTTTACCGTTTTATACATGACCAAAGATGCGATTAAATCGAGTGCTAGCATTTCGAAAGAAGGCTATATCCCACGTTTCTCCGAAAAGAAAAACTTCAAGGGTTAGATATTTTGGTTCACGACGGTATGCGTGTTATGCATCGAATTTATTGTGCGTCTGAAAGCTGAGTTTTAGAACGAAACGTTATTGATAGTGTCTAATGATCAAGAAAGGCGATTGAAGTACCATACGGAACTAGAATTACGGAAATGTACTGTATTAAGATTCTCGAAGTATCGGACTGATGCATGAACGACATCTACGAGATCGGCAACAAACCAGTAAACTACGCCACGACCTGCCCGTTCTCTCCTCAGTCTCTTATCAACACTAATCGATTTTCGATAAAGTAATTGATAGGTGTCGCTAGTGGAACGAGTCCATTACTGTGGTTACATTTTCTATGTTTACGCTTTTTATGAATCTCGTGATCGACGCAAAGGAAATATGATATAAATTGTTCATATCATTGTAAAAGTCATTTTGCTGCGCTGGGATTCCGTTTTTGAGTTTAGAGTACGATGGTCTGTATCACAGAATATCAAAAATACTTATCTTCTCTTTAAATGCTTGCACCGCTTCTGGCTGAGGCCTGGCATAAATTGAATTGCAGTGCATGTATCACAGCTTCGAAAATATTTCCGCGGCGAGAGTTACTTCACTCACTGAAGGTTGAACCATGCATCAAGTGCTTTTATAACATTTTTCTAAAAGCAGGATAGCTTCCATCGATACAGATATTCCGCGCTCGTATTTCAAAGCCATTTTGTCAAAACATCAATTTAAGCTGTATGAATAAACAGATGTGCTCGAGGATCTCTGAAACTTGTTTTCTCGACTTGAATATTTGTTCCTAAATATACAGCACGGATTTCGCCGTTGAAATTCAGCCGAGAATTGAGACCCCCAGCGCAGGATCTGAATCATTAATACTTCCACTGCGAAACAAACTCGTAGTTCACATGAAAAGCAGCACCCGCATCAATAAAAGCACAGTAGATTCAGACTCGTGCATGCTGTATAGTACAGCACACATGAGGCACCATATGAGAGTGCTGGAAATAAAGGTGAGAGAGCGAGTGATACAATAAGAGGAAAGACGGATATCCGGCCTCGTTTGGGCGTGAACATCATGAATGCCAGCACTGCTGAAAGAATAATGGCATGCAACTGATAATTGGGGAGAGCTTCCTAAAAAAAAAGGAGTTATACAAGTGTAAGAATCCCGTCATTGAGTCAGTTTGTGGCAACCTTTTCCTATACCGAGTGGGCTCTGCATGAGGAGTGCACACAGTGAAATCTAGCGAAATTTAAGCCTGATTATTGAAAAATGAGTAAAAAATAATTGTCTAAAAACTTGAGGATTATTTGCGTAATTTGTTTTCATAGCCTGCTAGCTGTACGATGGACGATGCAAATCCACCATTAATAATAATAATAATTCAGCCCACGATGCAGATGTTTAAGAACAATGCGAAAATTTTGAAGAAATGATTCGTATTGTTCATGGTTCAACACTGCCGAATTAATGTTCTCCACAATTTTCTTTTATACATTTCCTATTGCGATTGTTAATTGGTAAACTGAAGTGTCACAGTTTGAATTTGTCTGTTAATCACGAGTTTCACAACAGTATATTTTGTTTCAAGAAATTATTGGCTACAAAGAATTCGTTTTCCTGTTTCCCTCTCCAATAGCTGCAATAAATGATGTAAAAATTATTTATAGCGCATCTTTATCGTTATAATAACGAAGTTTTTGTCTTGATCCCAATATATAACAGCTTCTTTGTAAAGATATTCTAATGTTTATAACGTTTTATGAAGGTTGGAGTTGCGGTTGCTGACCTGCGCAGAAAAATGAGCAAAAATGTTACACGGTGGACTCTCTATACTGTACAAGAAAATTCAAGGGACCATAAAAAAAATCGCAGAGAGAATTTTAGTTGTTGAGTACCTGTATAACATGGACTCTCTTGGGTCTTTTTAAGCGCTATGACATATTTATTTTGGCAACATCTGTTCTGACAACATCTTGCAAGAATTTAGCGTCCTTAATAAAAGACCCATATCAAGGACATTAAGTAACACGTTACAAGGGTTATAGTGCGATAGAAAATGGCGGGTTCCTCGGAAAAGATCCGTACCCCAAGGTATTCTGCAGCAGACTGTATAGTGAGAACAGCAGTCATCTCCAGCAGCAGAATCGCGGCTCTCTGAAATAATATAAGCTCATATATAAAAGAGAAAATGCCGAATCTCGACATGATAGACCCTTACCAGTGTCCTAATTACCAGTCAGTGACGAGTCCCCAGCAGCAATTTCACGTGGATGATGTTTCTTCTCCTTTGGATTCCACTACAACAGCGTCTACTACATACGGTGATTTAATTTTTGCGAAAATGCTACATTCAGAATGTTCATGAGAAGAAAATACGGTGCACTATAGGACATAGAGCATGAAGTACAGTACTTCCTCATCATGCATCACACAACTTGACAATAATAATTAATTTAACTTAAACGAAAAAATAAATTATTTATAGGTATTCGAGAGAATCTTCAAAGGCTATCCTCCCAATAAATTTTATTCCTAATTTACCGAGAAAAAAGTCCACGAAGTCGAAATATCGATAAAAGGGCATACCGTATAAAATGTATCATGATTTCAAAGCATGGTATATATTATTTAATTTTTTATTTTTTGAAAGATGATGACGGAGTGCCGTGCAGGGAAAGACCACCACCGACTCACATCATCTCCAAGTTGTATGTCATTTACCAGCGATACAAATTCGTGATCTTGGCAACGACTTTCTCAGCATTCCTGGGGATTTTCTTTTCCGGGCTTCTGTTCACCACAGCGACCGAAGGACGAGTCAAAACCTGCTTTGGACCAGGTAAAACAAAAATTCATAATTATTTATCTTAAATGAGCCTGAAAAAAACTGACGGATATGTCTGGGATTCAAGTCAACGTATGCTATTAATATCATTGCTTTTATGTATCTCTTAGTTGTAAAAAAGAACTCCGATGTGGAATCCGATCGTTTGAGATTAAATAATAGAAAAAAAACTGACGGATATGTCTGGGATTCAAGTCAACGTATGCTATTAATATCATTGCTTTTATGTATCTCTTAGTTGTAAAAAAGAACTCCGATGTGGAATCCGATCGTTTGAGATTAAATAATCAACCAGAAATTTTGTCAAAGTATATTTAATATACTGTATTCCCACATTTTTCAATCTAAATCAAAGCACTCCCGCTTGGAAATTGATTCGCGTGTGAAATTTTGATTTTCCTCTTGAATTAAATTGAAGATGTTTTTATTGAGCTGACGAAATGTATTAAAAAATACAGAGACTCGAATATAATGACTTTTATCGTTCAATTGTTGAATGTTTTCACCGAAGTACGAAGTTTTTCGAACATTTAGAGAGGTACTTATATTTCCTTATGTGGATAAGTGGTTATTAACTTATTATCATATCATATTAAAGAAAAAATTATATTTTGTTGCATATTATACACGCTATTTTACTTAGAATTTCGATTAATTATGATAATCCCGGCAGAGAAAACTGTAACTACTGTAGAATAATTTAGATTCTTGCATAATTACGAATAAAAAGTCTACTTTCGGAAAATTTTTACGTGATTTTTAGATTGCGGTGACATGAAAGAAGCCGAACTGCAGGGCAAAATTGTGGCAGTCGGCCATCCGGCGGAAGTTCTGCAAAAATTGCACTACCCGGAACCACCTGGCAGTAAACCCCCCGAGGCGAAGGGTTATGACCGGTCTCAACCCTGGGACATGGTCAAGTTACCCTCATTTGCGAGACCTCGACACTATAAATTGCTGCTGCAACCGGACGTCGACAGACAAGCTTTCCGAGGTAAAAGAACATCACATTTCGAAAAAAAAATCCACTTTGAATGCTGTTTTTTTAAAACTTTTAATTTCTTCAATATTTGCATATATGGTCAGAGGTCAAAATTTGCACTCGGAATACGCAAATTTGAATTAAACATGTAGCAATTTTGTCTTGAAAAGGAGGCCTTATTTGAGTATTATTTTCGATCCCAAGAAAATAAAATTTTTTTTACGTGATGTTTTAATTAAAATTAAAGAAAAGAGTGATTTTACGGATGAACCCTCGCTTCCAAGTTCAGCATTCCGTCCAACATCTCAACGCATAATTTTTGTGCCAAAAATTTACTTGATGCCTACGTTGAAATCAATGGAAAGAATAATTTGACAAATTAATCTTCACCTCCAAGTTCAGCATTCCGTCCATAGCGCAGAAGTTTTGTATATAAAAAAAAATCAAAATTTCAATTTCCGCTGAAATTCTTATTTTTAAAGCAAAAAGAGTTTAGTTTTCTCAATGAATGTATTTCAAAAACTCTGTAAGTCGATTTTTTTGCTGGTCCCCCGGAATTTGACTTAAATACATATGTTGAACTGGAGATTTAAAGCTTATACACAAAAGCTGCCAAAATATAATTAAGAAAAAAAAAGAAACCTGTAAAAATTTTTGTTTTTAAAAGCAGACGCTTTGGAACAACAAAATTGTGCTTTCATCCCTCTTTTCCCTGCTGGAATCGGAATATTTTTTGACAGGCTATTACGGAAAAGTCTGTTTGAAATCCGTTTTCCCCTGTTCGAAACGTCAATCACTGCATATTTCCACCTTGCCGCCTGAGGGGGTCTTCGTATATACAGTATGCGATAGGAGAGAGAGAGAAAAAAGAAAGAGGGACGTGTTTTTGCTCAGCTGAAAAGAACAGGCATATAAAGGACTTGCCTCTTGTTTTCCTCACATTAATCCTAATGTAACCAACTCTGGTCCCTTTTAGAGTGTAGGAACAATACTACAAGCAACTAGGCAATGTTTGACCCAGGTGTCTCTGGGCCGTAAAAAGGGTAATAAGCCACATTGTTTCGCGTTCCAAGTGATATAATTTAGTATACAGAGAGAGAGCAACTACCGAAAATATCCGTTTTTCCTCAGCTTTATAGAAAAGCGATTTTTTTTGCTGAGGTGATAATTAGTTTTTGACATTTTCCAAGGATATTTAACCAATTTTCAACACAGATATTCAATTTAAAAAACATACAGTCGAATCTCTTGTTGTTTAATCTTTTGATCCAGCTTCACACTAACTTATATTGAGGAAAAATCTGTCTCCAATATCTCTGTAAGTAGAATTTCAAAGCACCAGCAAAATTAATCAACTTGACGAGGTTTTGAGTCAGGAAAATAAGCATTTTTGTTGTGGGAAACATAGAAGAATTGCAGGAAATTTTAAATGGTGATATTCATGAGTCTTAAATTGCTTTTTAAATTAGTTGACAGGATGCTGAACTTATTGGAGGCAGGGTTTCATTTCCCAAATTAGCCTTCACTTCCTTACAACACTCATCAAATTAAATTTTATTGCCTTTTCTCTTTCTGGTAACAAATGAAATAATAGCCAATTTCGGACTCTTTTAAACTCATTACCTCCTCTAAACACTCCTTCTCGGAAAGTCAATATCTCCAAAATTACGTAACAAAGATTCCTTTAAGTCTACCCTTTGTGAAAATCTCTCCATAAACTGAATTGGACATTCAAGTTATTGAGGTTAAACTGTACTGTATTTGATAAGATAAAAACACTCACTGTTGTCTACATATCAGTCATTCTCATCCATACTTAATGTGATACAGGTGGTACCTTGCAATTTGACCTCCTGCAATTTGATCATCCAGCAATTTGATGGTAAAATTTGCAAGGACGTTGACATGCAATTTGAATTTGAATTTTTAAACTTATATTTTTAAATTTCACAGAGTTCTTGCAATTCAACCAATTTGCAATTTGACCCTAGTCTGTCAACAGATTAGGACCTGTTATCAGTGTGACAAAATGACAATACTTGGGAAGTACCCCGAGGCAAAACTTTCTGGCGATCCTTTGGTGCATTGATTACTTTGCAACAAAGTATTATTATATTCCCGATGCTTGATATTCTCTCTGCGTCCCGAGACGCTTCGATAAGCGACATCAACTCTTATCCTTACCCATATCAAGATCTACTTCATTATAAAACCAAATGATCCTCTCCGCCTCAAAACTCTGTTGCTGACCAGATCCCTCTTAAAGATAGCCCCTTTTCCTTGTTCTTTATTCCGTCGGTCAAAGCGTGTATCGAAGTTTATATAAATCTTTGTTTTTGCCTGCGCGAGTTCAGTGTTGTATGCAACCTCGTAAGGAGACGAGTACGTTGATAGAAATATATCTTCTTAAAGATATACGGACTCTATACTTATTCAAAGGCTGAATATCGGACACTTGAAGAAGTTTCCCGGACATCAAGGAGAGAACTTAAACGTATAACAGTTGGACGGTTTCTTAAATTAAAGCTAACAAGGAAGGCGACAAGACACATTGTCAAATTTTATTTAATTTTTGGAAACCGGACAACAAAATACAGTAACCAAGTCCGAAAGCATAAAAGTTGCAGCAATAACTATTTAATTGTAGGCAAGGGGATTCGATGTAATTGTCAAGCATACTCCAGAAACGGGTCCCAAGGCCATATTCAATAACAATAAAAGAAAAATTTCGCTGGAAACCCTTTCATTCTGCACGGAAATGCATAAATCGAACCGTGAAATGGCATTTCTTGGTCACCTTCTTCGACAGGCGAGAAAGTTCTGAACATCAAATACTGCTATGTACTGTTTCCACTGTATGTTTAAAACAAAACGTTTTGTTCAATCCACAATGTACGTCGAAATAATCGACAGATCCACTCCTGGAAAACCCAAAACCAAAATTTTAAACCGCAACGCGAAAAAAAAAGCCGTGCGAAGTCCAAAAGCATAAGACTCGCCGCAATACTATTTTAATTGTAGACGAGGGGATTCGATGTAATTGTCAAGCTACTCTAGAAACGGGTCCCAAGGCACTATTCGATAACAATAAAATCAAGAGAAATGAAAAAACATCTCGACGTCGTTCCCAGAAGTTGCTTTCCTTACATTGAGGAACCCTGGAGAGAAAAAAGGAAGGAAAGAAGGGCGACAAGTCTTCCGAAATCGCGAGATGGACATCGATTCCAAAGACACTCTTCGTTTCCGCCCCCACATGCCAACGAAGGGTCATCACTTCTTATCCCCAATTTCTTGTTCTTCCTTCCTTCTTTCCATGCGCTGGAGGTTTTCTCGTTTCTTCTTTGTATACTGTACATCCTTTTTTTATCCCTTATAGTGGAACCCTCCTTACAGAGTACTTCATTCCGTGGAGAGGAATTGACAAGAGAAGGGCTGGAGGAATCCACATCCGCACAATAATTCACCCGTGTGAAATCTCGACCTGTCGTCCGAACGCGTTCGCTCACTTCTTCATTCTATCAAGACGAATGCTGGCAAGGATCTATATGCATCTTTATTTCAGGAATAAGGGCTCTGCATCACCCCATTTGTTTTCCTGCTAACACTTCCCCCCTCCAACTTCATCTACAAAAATGTTGGGTGCGAGACAGGAAATTCGGATTTACTCTACGTTTCAACTTTCATTGTAAGTGAATGGTTCTGGGCTGGAAAAGGGTCTTGTCTAAAAGTTTGGATCGGGAGGTATATATAAAGGCGGAATTCTTCAAAGAGGATTCCAAGTTGCTTTTGATGGTTCATATACGAACCAACAAACGTGTGCCGTATCGAGGATTGAAAAATTCATGAGCCGCGTTCATTGGCTGAAGGGTTGGCTTCGATTTTGAAATTTATTTGACTTGAAACTCGCTTGAATTTTGGGAGGACTCAGAAAATGTCAGAACATGAAAATGTTTCCATCTACGAGGTTGCAGAGGAAAACTTGATATGACCCACTTTTTTTTGGGACGTCTCACATATTTGGAGTTGATGAACACAACTCCCCCTTTTCATCAGTGATTGAATGATCAGAATTTAGTTCTATTACAACGGTACATAAGCTAATTCTTTCGAATTCCAATTCAGTAACAGAATCCATGAGAAATAGATCCTGTTATCCAGGAAAAATTTACATTTGTTTTGAGGACCTCTCTTTTCTAAATTGCTTCCTCCCTCAAAGAAATGTACAAGGTTTTCTCCTGCAGCTGTTTTGTTGTTTTGAATTCCCTCTTCTCACATTACCCCATTTTAATGGAGTGAAGCATTTCTTTTTGTAAGGTACATATAAATTCTCTATCTCTGCCAACAGTGATAAATGCTTTTGCACTGCCACACCTCTGAAATATTGATTTCAAAGGAATATTAGGTATATAATATTTTTCCAGGATAATTTGGTATATTAATCTATTGAAGTGTATTTTAATCTAGTTAGTAAAGACATAAATCCAAAATTTGGTCACCTTGAAGTAGAACCATTCAACTACTACTTAAATTTCCAAGTTAAAACCATTTAAATCACCATGAAATCAATGGAAAAACTTATAGAAAGCATGTGGCCATTTGATAAGGACATTCTTCAATTCTATCCCGGACTTTTGCTATATTAAGTCACAAATTTACGTTTCAAAGAATGTTTAACGTTCAGAATTGGTAGAAAAAATTGTTAACATCATCAGAGCACTTGTTTCTTCAAAACATGGGTGCCTGATAGGAACTCTTTTTTTTACCGAGAACATATTCAAATTTATTTGATGTTTTCATATCGCATTTGGACAGCCTGCAAATTTGTGAAATATTGTGTGGGAGGTAAAACCTTATTTCGCAAAGTGCTGGAGTGCATTTCCGACCTTCCTCTTCTTCAAAGTGAATGAGCAAAAAATTTTGAAACATTCATCACATCATGGTAAAACAATACTCTGTGAAGAATGGCGCCCATCTCGCACGTGAGCAGCATAATTTTCATATACAGTAGTTGCATGCGTATCTCATCCCTGTGAATTTACACCATATCCGTGGGGATATATGTTACACAAATACAAGGATCAAAACTTCTTTTCTTCCCTATAAAATTCCGAAAAAAATATTCCATGTTCGGGAGAAAACATGGTATTTCGCGAGATATGCTTAATTTTTCACTGTCTCGTCGAATTTGTCTCGCCTGTGTCCGCGGCACTTACTTTTCGCAACCCATAGGACGGGGCATTCGTTCGACAACGTAAAAAGACTTTTTTTTTCCGGAATGTAAGTAGGTATTTTGTGAACAAATCTCGCAATGGGTCAGCGGAAACCAGCAAGTGGAGTTCGGGAAACGATGGGCACCGGAAGCCCATAAGAGCACTGCTTTCGTGAGCCAGGACAAGTGACCCACGGAATAAGTTATGATCCCAGGAGGCGCAACTAGTCTGAAAGATGATGCCATCAGGCGCTGCTCTGATCTATGACAAGCAAGGAACACTGAAGCCAAAAATCTACACCAGAAAAAAAAAACAGCCAAAGGCGATTTCATAAACTTTTTTTTTTACAATAAGCAAAAGATGATGAATTAATCTGCCCGCCAGAGTGCCTTGTTGGGGGGAAGAAATTCAGGCAACCCCTGAGTTGAAAAAAGAAAAACTCAGCTAAAGCTCGTATAATTCTTTCTAATTTCTTTCATCACAAGGTCCGGCTTCTTTGACATCCCTCTTCTTAGTGACCTGGTCTTAGAAACCCAGAAACCCATACAACCTACATCAACCTAGATAATTCCGAGAAAACTTTTGCGGGATTTTATTTCCACTCAGATCTGGATATGATCCTAAAGGAGGTTCAGAACTGTCATTCATGTCAATGCCATGGCCATGACAGTAAACGTAAACACTGAATTAATATAAATCATCGCATTCATTCATTCATCCTGTTCTCGATGTTTTTTGGCTCGGAACATTCATTTCTTGATCATTTTTTCATGCTCAGGGAATATTCTTAACGAATTTCTGTTCTTAGTCTTCGGGATTTCTGACTAATTCCGAAAATATTCTTTATTCCCTTGCCACACACGCGTTCAAAAAAAGACGATTGAAGAAATTTGCGTAATCGATTCCTCACATTTTTATTCAATGAAATGCAGCATTTAATGTGAAAAGCAACTGATTGTTCGGATTAACCCGAAAATCATAATTAGCTTTTCAACATGATTTGAATCCGAAAATAATTCTCCGCAAGAAAGTTTCTGCTCTCTTCGTAAGATTTCACATGGAACCGTCGGCAAAATATCGACCCGAACATGGATTTCTTTATTTATTTTTTACTGAAGTGGGATGTTGGAGGAAAAAGTTGCACTTCAGTTCACAATTAGCCTGCACTTGTTTGTTTCGTTGTAGGTTGCTGTCCTAATTTTCTTTATTCCGGAGCGGCTTCCTGGGAAATAGTAGCATGGAAGAAAACAACCTCAACTTGTATCCTCGTACTGAACTAGCTCTTGATTGCTTACCTGCTGGGATAAATAAAGACACTGACGAGATGGGAAGAGCAGTTCCCTGTAAAGCCAATGAAATTACTCGAAATCAGGGTGCGAAATATTTAGGGCGACGGACTTCTTAGACCGGAAGTTTGCGACAGAAAGCTTTCGTACTTCTACAATAAAGAGAAAATTTCTGTGATTTATCTTTTAAAATCAGACAAGTCGCCCAAAAAAATTGGACAGACATTTTTTTATTACAGTATTGCCTATTTAACAAAAATCCCATGAAATAATTTTTTTTCTTCAAGAATGATTTAGCCGTTTATTTCCTCTGCTCAAAATGAATCCTCGTCCTGATCTCTGGGAACTAATAACATTCTTTCGAAGACACTTGACTGACATAAGAGTACCTTCCATTCGGAAAAAAACGGGTACATTTCCTCAATGTTTTTTCCCCTTTAAAATCTATCAGTTCTTTCTCGCCAACTTCCAGGGTATTGTACAGAACAT